GCTGATGCTGTGAAATACAACTCTTACAGGTGAAGTGTTCATCTTAACCAATATTTAGAGTTCTGTGTATTTTTGTCCTATAGTGTGTCAAGCCTGGTGTGAACCTCTTGTTGGCATGAATTGTATGTAGTAACTGGTTGAAACATAGTCAAGCTTGAAGAAAAGTCAAATAAATTTAAAAAACCCATGGTTTCAATGGGAACACCAGTATCTGGAGCACTCAGTGAAATGCACTGTTCAGGCTGTGTGTAGGCTATATGTGTGTAACTCCAGTGGGAGTTCTAGGTAAATGTCAAATGCTGCGGCATGTAGTTGGAATTACACGGTTTCCATTGTGCTCACTAGCATTCAGAAAACCATCTGAATAGGTATCTTCCAGAATGCAGATCAGTTCCTGACAAAAGGAGGCATCTGTGTTTAGCCTGTGCTTTGTAACTCCTTTGATCCAAAAACATCATGGTAAAATCTGCTCTCCAGCTCTTCATGGTTCCAGAGCTCTGCTCGTTTGCCTTGGTGATTAACACAAGTGCTACTTCTGCTCACATTGTGGAATCGGCAGTGCTCTGAGACAGAACTCGTGTCCTTTTGAGAAAGAGCATGATATTTGAACTCTCCTTGCCCTGCTGTTGGTGCCTGCAGCTCAGCTGGATGATTCAGTGAAGGTGTCAGGGAGGGGGTCATTTTGCCATGAAGTTCCTCAGGGTCCCTTGGAGACAAGTCCCTGCTCTGTTTGTGTGTGTTTTTTTTTAAATTTCTTCCACATAAAAGATGCAGCTCTTTGTTTGGGCAGGTTTTGTCTGGAACTCACTTTATGCAAGCACTGGAGGTGACAAATAGAGCATCTTCAGGAATAGTTTTGAAAACGAAAAGCATGTTTTTTAACAACAGAAATGTCAGTTGTTACTTAAACTGGTTTGGCTTTTTGATCTTGATTATGAGGATGAATTATATGCTTTATTAGGATAAACTAATATTCTTTTAAGTGTTTAATTCAAGGAGGATTTGTGTTACTGCAGAATACAATGGGCCTTATCAGCTGCAAGCTGGTGAGTCTTCACTGCCTGATCTAATTCACAGCTCTGAACAAAAAGCACTGGCACATTTGTGTCTAATCTCAGGTTTAGACAGATGGAAGTGAGGAAGATAAATGCACTGATAGTGTGTTTTTTGTCAGTGAAGTGATAAATTCTCTCTGTTAATTCTTAATATTTATTCTGAGACTACACTGTATTTTTTAAAGGTATAAATGCAGTATTATTCTCTCAGGAACAGCATGTCCATTGTCCCTTTGACAGGGTTGGTTTAGGTTTCTGAGCCTTGCTTAGAGAGATGTATTGTAGTTACACTAATTAGAACAAGCAAAATATGTTTTGGGGGTGTGTCACTGGGAATGGAGGTGGCAGAAGTTTTTGTCATCTTTACTTTTTTCCATCTTTCTGTTAGAAAATATACATATTTCTCTGAATACAGAAAGATAATGTTAATGAGGGGAATCTTACTAAGCTACCTGTTTTGAGATTTTCGTATGCATTACTTTATTTTAAAGCACAAGGAGTTTAGTTGTCTGTGGTTTCTCTGGCATTGTATGTTCACAGATAAAATGTGAGTGGGTGCATCAGGATCAGATTCTTTTGTCAAACAGCTGTTTCTGGTTTTGAACAAGAGCTTAGTTTTTAAGCTTGATTGTCAAAAGCAGGTTTTTCAAGTCTGAAAATAGCATATTCAAGTACAAAATTGTCTAATTAAATATGTGTACTACTAAAATAAACCATAAAATAAAGTTATGTATTACTCCCCAGAAATCAGATTTTTGACAGTGATGTGAGAAGCTTTTTGTTTCTAAATGCAACTTGTTCATGGAATACATGTTCATTAATCATATAAATTTATTTTCATTTCTTACTGGCTTTCAAAATTTTAATACATGAACCAAAAGACGCTTGTCAAGTTAGCTGCAGTTTCCTCTTAGAAAACAGCTTTCGAAATAGAATAGTACAAAAAGTTACAAACTGCTGCTTGCGAAGACAAGAGATCTGCACTTCAATTAATATTCTTGTCAAATTCACCAAGTGAATGTAAAAACTACTGAATGAGGCACTTGTACATATTTTTATCCCCTTCTTCCGCTACTGACTCGGGTAATGAAGTGTAGATGTGGCTGTTACATGCCAGTTGGAAGGGAGCCAAAGCTGAGATGTTGTTTGTACATGTGCAGACCTTGGCAGGATTCCCTGCACTCCTGTTGTCAAAAGATGTTTTTATTGCCACAGCGTTATAAATATATCTGTTACAGCATGGCATGCAGATATTCTGCTGGTAAGAAGGTGTGCACTTCTGAATAAACCAGTCTGCTCCTAGTATTTCTTGTCTGCAATGAAATTCATTGTACACAGTGCAGGAAGCATAATAGATGTGTTTGGAAGATCAGTGACTAACGCTGCACTTCGAAAATCAGTTTAATCCATTACATAAATCCCTGCTGCTGCTGGAAAGGAAACATCCTCTTAGCTCCTTCCCTCTTCTGCATCCAGCTGGAGAGGCCTTCTCTTTTCCTCTTTTCCTCTCAGCAGTGCATCCTAGCACAAGGTGGTGATGTGGTATGGATCAGGCTCTGATCCCAGGGAGCTCCAGCCCGGCAAGTACGAGCCTTGCTTTCCTGATGATGTGCAGGGGATTGAAATGAGTGTGCTTGGTGGGTTGGGAGGGAGGGACACCTGTGCTTCCAATGGCAGCACATTCCTTGCCAGGTTCAACTGTTTGTGGTTGAATTTGTGTTTGAAAAGGCAGGCAAAGTCATAAGCAGGGCAAGATTGGAACATAGAAGAGGAGAACTGTGGAAAAGAAAAGGAGTGGGGTGGTCCAAAGTAATATTTAAATTGAAATATTTAAGCATCATTGAATTGAATGCTGATAAAATGCAGCAATATGAAAATGTCATGCACATTTGGTGAAATTAGTTAAGCTTGTGTTTATCAGGAAATGTAATCAGGCAACTTTTCCCCAATATAACGAGAAGTTTGTATGATGTAGGTTAAACAAATAATTTCATTTGATGGACAAGAGCTGTTTGCTTCTTGTTTTGTTTTGGTCCAGGACTGAATACAGTCACAATAAATGCACTTGAAATACCACTTTGGTGACATTTACTGATGCCACAGCCATGTTTCTGTTATATAGTCTACTCAGAATAAGTAAGGAAGACTGAATTAGTACACACTTCAGTTGTTGGAAGGTTATTTTGATAACCACAAAACAAGTGGAAAAAAAAGCCCCAAAACTCTCTTAACTGTGGAATGTGACACTTGACTTGGCCTGAACTGGTGGCTATTTGGCTGTGCTTCCACCTTCATTAATTGCCCTGAGTCCTGCAGGTAAATAAGGCTGGAGGCTGGATAATGGCTTCCCTATTGCATGGTAGATTTAGTTACTGAGAGAGATTTAGTTCTGCTGGCTTGCATGGTATCGCAGCTTGAAAATACCATACTGCTCTCAAACCTGTCAAATTAGTTCATATTCTCCTCAGGATTTATCACAACCTGTTTTGCTTATGTGAGTAGAACCTGTGATAAAAATAGAGTTGAAGTTCAGACGTGCAGACATGTCAAAAACTTTGAACCTGTTCTATTATCAATATGGCTCTGATGTCCTTTTGCCCAGTGAAGAAACTACTTCTTTGTAGTGGTAAACATGGTTACTTACCCAGAAATTGTCTTCTAAGGTTTGCCACCTTAGAGAGCAGCTTCATGGCTTTTGCCATAGAAATAGGAAACATTGTCCATTATGTATATTAGTTATGATTTTAGTTTCTTCGGGTGTCCTGCATAGCCAAGGTTGGTTATGTTAGACGCCTCTTCACTTCATGGTCTTGTAGTTCAGACCTGTTCTACATGGTGTGTTCCTTCCAGTCTCTTTCCCCCAGTGACAGTAAATGTTTTCTGCCATTGTAGATTCCAGAAGGTACAAGGCTTTCATTCATCCTGAACCCCACCATGCTGGTCCCCTCAGCTGTGGTAAAACCTTTGCTGTGTCATTACTGCAGAATGGATCATGGGTGGTGTCTGGTGACACCATAGCAAGGCAGAGCACGAGGAAGGAGCATGGGCACCTGGTGGTATCTCCTAATAGTTAAAAGTGGTGTACATCATATTCTTAGAGTGCTAACTTATGTAAATTTGGGGCTTCTTAAATCAGTGCTTTTGTGGTTTCTTCCTTTGCATTCCTATCCAGCATTCCTCTGCAGTTTGGAAAGTACCTTTTAAGTGCTTGTCTGTTCCCATTGAAGTCCTAGGGCTCATTCAGCACAAATGAATTAGGAAAACCATGCTGGTGTGTTGTGGCTTTTTGTAATTTCTTGTAGTGTGTCATTTCTATTCAGCATCTTGTGTTAACTTCCAAGAAAGGTACTGTTGGAGACAGATTTTACTGTTGATAAAAATGTTACGTGGCTGTGTGTAATAAACACACAGTATATATGTAGCACTTAATCAAGAGATAGTGGTAAGGTATACTAGAAAATTAAGAAACCTCAAAGGAATCCCATCAACTGGGAAAATGGAAGGGGTGGTGGTGGAGAGAAGGAGGTGCCACTTTGTAGAGTTTTTTTTCTTTAGGTTGTTAAAAGAACTGGTTTTAACTAAAAACTCAAATGCAGAAATACTGGGTTGGGAAAAGTACTTGCAGGACTCCAACAGATGTGTAATAAAACACCAAGAGAAAAAGATGGTTGGTGAAACTGTGTGTGTGTGTGTACATGGAAAGCTAGATACGGGCTATGTCTTGTTTCAGGTCATCCAGCTTCTTCCCTGTGTTAGTCCAGCAAGGCCTCTTGGTCACAGAAATACATTTTGTTTTGTTTTTCCTTTCCCTTCAAAACTTCAAAATACATGGGTAATTGTGTTGGTGGTTATTTGCAGCTTTTTCTTCTAAGCTTTATTGAAAAGCCTTTTAAAATCTTAAGCTGTTTTGTATTAATTAAAAATTTAATTTTTTTTTGTATACAGAGTTTTCCATCTGATGAGGGTTGGCCATTTGCAAAGTACTTGGGAGCCTGTGGAAGGATGGTGGCTGTCAACTACGTGGGAGAAGAGCTGTGGAGTTACTTCAATGCACCATGGGAGAAACGAGTGGATCTGGCCTGGCAATTAATGGAAATAGCTGAGCAGCTGACAAATAATGACTTTGAATTTGCACTCTACCTCCTTGATGTCAGCTTTGACAACTTTGCAGTGGGACCAAGAGATGGGAAAGTTATCATTGTAGATGCAGAAAACGTTCTGGTAGCAGACAAAAGGTTGATCAGACAGAGTAAGTGTCTTCTTTCACTCCCCTCACCCTGTGTGTCTCACTTCTTTCTCTGCAATATTTAAAGTATGCATGGTTGCTAAATACATATTTTGTTTGCTTTACAACTAGACTGCTAATTAACAAATAAATTAGCTTTCTTCTGCAATTAGACTACTAATTAGCTTGACCAGTTTGTCAATTTCATGAGCTGTTGAGCATACCTGGATGCTTTTAAGTACTGTAATGTGCATAAAGGAAGAGGTGGGGGTGGGAAAAGAGGGTGTTGGCACTGGCTGTGTTTGGACAGGTGGATGGACGGATAGACAGAAAAGCAGCCTGGCTGTCTTGTCCACCTTAGCTGAGAGAGAGAGGTTTTTTTTGTGTTTTCCATGGAAGTCTTGGAATTCTGCTTTCTGTGAATGACAAACAGCATTAGTCCCTGCTTTGCCTCAGTCCCGTAGCCTGACTTCGCTTCCTGTTGGTTTTCTGTACTAATGGAACCAAAGGAATGGGTAATTCTAGAGCTGTTTCCAAATTAATTTTCTGTCAGCTGTGAAAGCTCAAAGCAGAGGCAGCAGGAGAGGTGTTTGACAAAGTGGCATCACATAGGTTTATATTCTTTTTGAGCTTATAAGGAAAACTTGCAGACCTAAGGGCTGGAGACACTGAACATGAAACTCTGGACTCTGCAAAGTTCATGGCAACAGGCCAAGTGATTCCAGTTTGCTTTGGGTGAATGGATTATTTTAAGCTTTGCAAATAGGCTTCATATGTTGTGTTGTAGAATTAACTTTTAGACTGGGTTTTTCTATCCACACACTTTTTTACAAGCAAGTGTATTTTGGGGTTGTTTGGTTGGGTTTTTTTATTAGATTTATTATATGTTCTCAAGCAGCTTAGATTAAAACTGTGTGAGCCTACCAAGGAAACCTTTTAATATATTGAATATCCAGTACATTTACTGTAGAACCTTTCCTTTTCTTCTGTTCCTTTCTCTTCTGTTCCTTTCCCTCTCTCTTAAAATAATATTACTGTAGGCTTTCATTTTTGGAGCCTGTCTGTTTGCTCAGGCAGAAGGATGTCCAGATGAGCTCTGGAAATGTTGATATGTAGGTGGAATAGGAGCAAGTAGCTCCTTGCAGAACCTGAATGCTGCAAGTTTCACATCTGTTGTCCCAACCAGGCTTTTGGTGTGATTCATGATCGAACAATGAAGAACACAGGCAACAAAAAGAGGACACAAGAAGATTCTCAGTCTTTGTATCAAGTTGTATGGTGGTTAACATTTAATACTGATTTCATGGATCTTTGGGAAGGTTCCATGGGGCAGTCTCTGTCCAGAGTGATCAATATGCCTATTCAGATATTTCAGTATGTACCTTCTGTGCAGTTGCACTGTACAGTAACACCTAATTGTACTCTCTGTGGGATGTCATATTTGAGTTTGCTGAAGCCCTTTTTTCCCATTCTTTGCTGGCCTTTTTTTCCACATTGATTTTGCTATTAATTCTGCAGATCTTACATCATGTTTTATAGTTTTAGCTGTCATCCTTCAGTACTCTTTCATTTCCTAAACTGACTTTCAGTGTGCTGTGAATGAGAAGACCGATAGTCAGCTCAGAGACTGCCAAGCACAGATTAATTTTTATTTGTACCTCACACTAAAAGGCATCTGCAGAACTCTGGGACTCCATGATAAGGACCTCTTCTCAAAGCTGGCAGTAGTCTGGAAACTTAAGATGAAAGTTTTCTAACAAAAAGTAGTAAGAACTCAGGAGAGCTCACGCTTAGTAACCTTTTAAGTATTATTACTGCATGAGGTATTTTACGTAAATCAGGTTTTAAGTTAAAGCTGTGACAAGGAGAAGGGTTTGTACATGTACATAGATGCCATTTGCCTTGTTGAATTTTACTGTTTTCAAAGATTATAAGTAATACTTAATATTTTTCAAAGATTATAAGTAATAATCTGCTTTTTTATATTCTTTCTGGTTACTGCTGTGTTGAAAGTAAGATAGAAGATAAAGTTTCAAAAGTTTATAGCAATTACTTTGCAATGTTGTTTTAGTCTTTGGTAGACCACTTGCTAGCAGTAGTTTCCAGGGCAACTGGAGAGCCCAAATCTATGTTGCTAAAATAAATCATGTTGCTTGTTTGTTTTTCTCTCAGCTTTGGCTCTGGATTGTTCCCTTGTACTTACTCATGTTACATTTTTTCCTCTGGGTATGTGTGAATGTAGATTTCATGCGTTTACTGTGCTGCTTTTTTCTTGCCCTCTCTTTGCTGTCTATTTTGCCCTCTTTCTTTCTTTCCCTTATTTTTTGTTTCACCAGGACCATTTCATCAGAAGGACGTATCAGACTGTCAGATGCAGTCTTAGGCTCCAACAGTTCTGAGTTTATCTAAACAAAACTGGTTTTAGTTTAAATATTACCAGTTTGCTGTCATTTGAGCTTCTGATTGTTTTCAGACACGCATATGCTCTTTGCTCCTGTCTCTCACTTGTTTTACTGTCTCCTTGCATTTCACAGATAAACCTGAGAACTGGGACGTGTGGTACGAGAGCAAGTTTGATGACTGTGATAAAGAAGCCTGTCTGTCCTTCTCTAAGGAGATTCTTTGTGCTCGTGTCACTGTGGACCACAACTATTATGCCATTTGCCAGAACCTTTTGTCCAGACACGCCACGTGGCGGGGCACCTCGGGGGGGCTCCTGCACGACCCCCCAGCTGAGATTGCCAAAGAGGGGCGCCTGGAGGCCCTGCTGGATGAGTGTGCCAACCCAAAGAAGAGATACGGGCGGTTCCAAGCCGCCAAGGAGCTGCGGGAATACCTTGCACAGCTCAGTAACAACGTGAGGTAGTCCACAGAGAAATTCTTTGGCAGCGCTGGCTAAAACACTATTGCAAAGACACGTAGAAAACAGAAGTTTTGGACTCGTCTGTTAAAAAGAGAGACTAAAAAACCCTAGTTTATCAGTTTTCTAAATACTGTAAAAATAGAATTTTATGGTGTTCTAATGTTCCTTTGCAAACAAACAAGGTACTTACTGAATTAAAACTTGAGCTACTATTGACTGTCCTCCCTAACAGTTCAAAAGGGAGTAGGTCACAAAAGACTGTGATAGCTTAATTGACAGCTTGTGTGTCAAAGGGTACTTTACCTAAAACTGCATTAGTGTCACAGTTTTGTGAAACTGATGTTCTTACTTGGAAAGTCAAGTTAGTCTGGTGGCCTGTTTTAAAGGCCTTTTTCCTGACATCATTGTCTCATTTTTGTGTTTGTTTAAACACCTTGAAGTGGCATTTACATCCAGGTAAACCTAGCTGTCTGCATTGTTTCAAACTGAACAGGCTTTCGTGTTAATGCTGTGCAGAACATTCCTACTGTGAGTGCAGGATTCCTGAGTTTACTGTCTGATTTTAGGGGGTTTTACACTGTATTTTACTATGCTTAGACATTGTGGTTTGTTTTTTTAAGATCATCATAAGCTCAAATCTCACTTGAACTAACATTCATTTAATGTCTTCTGTGGTACTGCCATTGAAAATATCACTTAATGTTACTGTCGTACAAAACTTACCCTTCATGCCAGTATATACACATGGCTGGTTAACAGGAAATCATGGTATGTGCAAACTCTTATTTTTAACAGAGATACTTTGAAAATTGGAAAGACACTACAATAAAAAGATCTGTGTTAATTTGGGGATAGAAGGTTGAGTAAAAATAGAAAGTCATTAATCTGGTGTAGTTTTAGTATAAGCCAAAGAAAATGGTTTTGTTTACTGGTTTTTGAACATACAGTAAACAAAGAATGCTATACTGTAGTGAAACTAACAATTTTCAAAATTCAGATTTTGATGGTCCTTGGTTACTTTCTGAAGAACTTCTGAAACTGTACTGATGCTAGAGAAAACCCTAATTTAAATAATGTCGAGCAAGTTAGCAGTTTGTTTTACATCCTTCCTAAGTGTGTTGAATGGAATTTTCTGAATATTCATCTTTTGGTTTACCAGTAAGCTGTATTCACTCTAGGTACCTTTTCTTGGAATAAGTTTGACTATTCCCAGTACAGTTGAAATTGACTTGTTGAGGTTTGTGTAAATATGGAGTTGTTCTCATAAATCACAGTTTTTATAAAAGCCTCAGTTTCTGCTACAGGAACTCACTTGAAAGCTTGCTCCTCAGTTTTTGCTTTGCTTTTTTTTTTTTTTTTTTTTTTTTTTTTTACAACTACTATGCTTAATTTTTCTGAAATCTTGTTCATACAAAGATGCTCTTGGGAAATGTGTGCATATTACTTCTGGTAACAGTAATGAAGGAGACCAATATTTCTTAAATGTGTGTATAAAACACTATTTTGTACAAGCTAAACTTAATTCTGAGCAAGGTAACGTGTGCTACTTCCAAGAGCAGAGCTGCTCTGCCTCCTGCACTGCATCAGAGCCTGATGGAAATTGTTCTGCCGGCGAGGAAAATGGCAAACTCACTGCCTTGCCCTCCTTTCTCAAAGCTCAGAGTGGAGGCACACAGAGATGCAGAGTGCTCTTTGATTTCTTTGGTCGCTGTATTTTGAGGAGATGGTTTAATGGTGAACATGGTGGTGGTGCTGGGTTGGACTTGATGATCTTAAAGGTCTTTTCCAACTTTAAAGATTCTATGATTAAGGATATTTTGGAATTGGAAATTCTCACTCTTATGTCATTGTTGTCTCTGTAGTCTTAATTTGTTCCCAGTCCCTTGTCTTGTTTTTTGAAGTTAGAATGCCCAGTGCAGCTTTTAATTTTAATTTCTCCCCTCATTTGAACAGTTTTATGTGCTTGTTCTGGCACAGGCTGTTGGAGAACAGTCATGTTACTTTTCTTCATAAAATCCACTTATTTGAAGAAAATAGACTAACCCTCAGACTAGATACTACTGATGCCTTAAGTTTTAGCTTTCATATTTTCCAGATTCTATACTGCATTAGTACATAACTCTGAACTTCATATAAAGTGTTATCAAGTTCTCCTCACAGTTTAGTTAGACAAAACAATCCTTTTCCAGCCCAAGAAGCAAGGACACGGTTGCAGCTTCAGGCCCAAAAAGTGTAAATAGGGAGTTGAGGAGAGCAGACTGGGAGGATGGGGCTGCATAAGCTGAAGCTGTAACTGGACAATTAACCCCAATATGGAAATGGACCAAAACTTACAGAAGTGTGATAACTCTTGGCCTGGTGTCCATGTTGGGTAGAGCTACTTGTACTGCCCAAGGTGTATCCTTTGAAGGCCTTTTAATAAATCCCCACTTTATTCCTTTAACACTGTCTAGCCTCTGTTCTAGGTAGCCTCTCAAGGCATCACTACCACCCTCCCATAAAAGCCTTGACTTACCACTACAGTTGATTTTTAAACATCTGCCACATTTTCCAAAGAGAGAGTGGACTGTGCTTGTTGAAAGTTGTGAAAGAAACAAACTGCCAGTTTTGGTTACTACTTGAGACAGTTCTGTGACTGTCAGAATGTTCTCTTAAATTTTGTTTGGGGTTTAGTCCCTCCAGAAACAAGTTACTAAAACCACTTGTAAAAGGAACTTGGAAGCTAAAGGAAAATAAACCCCAAAACCCCCCACTACAACAAAAACACTACAGGGAAAACATTGTGGAGAGCAATAAATCTTGTTCCATTTGCACCTGTCAGATATTTATTGTACAATAACAATTTATATTTTTAGTCATTGCCCATTATTATTGATGAACATGGTGAAATATTTTTGAATGAGATGTTTGGGGTTTGTATGTGCATTAAAATTGTCCTTTTGTACTGTAAGTTACTGTTTGTTTGGAATACTTTATCAAAACTGTCTCCCTGTGCCTTTATATTACAAGAAAGTTGTTTCTGCAACTTCTAATGATATTAATAAAGAATACTTTAAGAACCTCATCTCAGCTATTCATTTGCAGATCAGTAAGTCTTTCAGGATTGTTTTACTCTGGGATGCTTTAAAATACACATGGAACTAGTTTTAGTAGTGTTTCAGATTGCACCAACATCAGAAGAGACAGATAGGAACCTTTTTCCCATCCTCCTTTCTAGTTTGATCCCAAGTATGACAAGGAAGATAAAACTGGTTCAATAGCCATCCCCGTTTGCCTTCCTGTCCTTCTCAGCTGTACATGCTTTTGCAGTTGTCCCCAGTGTCTTGTAGATACTGCCAGCAGTCCATTACAATATTTTCCTAATTATTTTTCTAATTACTGTTTTTTCCCTGAAGGTATTATGCAAAACTTCATATTAGGGTTATTTTTAACATCTTCCTAGAAGAGATGGTGTTTTGTCTCTGCCAAATAGTAAAATTATGTATACATATGGTATTAAATTATGTTTGTCTTGGATCTTTATATAACCTGTTTATTTTCAGCATAATTCAGCACTACTATAGTATAAATAGACTGGATTAGCTTTCTGCTAACATTGTCCTTTTTTTCCCTAAATAGTTAATTGGCAATTGAACTAGAAGTATGGTGGTCACCTCATTTGCTGTTCCTTTCAGGAAGGTGGGGTTTGGGTAAAAAGAAGCTGGCTGGTGACGTGTGGTGGTTTTCACTGTTTGGAAGGTGAAAACACTGGAAGTGTTACCTGGCTCATACTTGCTATGATGTGTGCCTGCCCTGGGGTCACGTATGTTATCAGAAATGGTTCTTTTCAGAATTTTGTAGAAATTCTTTGCTTGTGGACACAGCTGTCTGAGTTTATGAAGGCTTGTCACGTCATGACTGCATGACCCAGGTGCTTGACCAGCAAGTGCAGTAGGAAGGGGACAAAAGCTGAGGAGGTCTCTGTGCCCTGGCACTGCCCTCTGCTCCTTGGGGTTGTGGCTGCGCTGTGGATCCCTTCAGTGCAGGGCTGAGCAGGAGCCTCTGCATCCTCAGGGAGTGTGTGCCTGAGATCTGCCTCCCCTCAGCTGGGACTTGTGTCCTCCACTCAACATCTTCAGTGTGTTTATGCTCAATTAGCAGCTCCAATTTGTATTTGGTAGGGCTTGGCAGACGCTGGGTGTGCGCCTGGGTAAGAGCTGGTGGCAAGGAACCTGGTTCATGTGCATCAACACCGCAACCAAACCAGCACTGGGGAGCAGCAGTGGCATTGAGACATTCACTTCAAATCTGCTTTACTCCTCCTGGACAGGGTTAACGTAAACCCAGACTCTGAGAGCTGAATGTATTCTTCACTAGGCAGAAGGAGACCCTGCATTTTGACTGAGCTTCTTTACATTAAAGTTTGTATATTACTTATCTATTAGTTTTTGCTAATGTCACATTCACATTTTATCTGTACATGTAAATGTACACATATGTGTGTATTTAGCATAAGCTGCTATTGCAGAATTCAGATTGGACTTCAGGCTCACAACTAATGGTGCTTTAATCAATTGCTTGTGGAAAGTCTGATAACCTAATTTCCCTGCCTTCTTGTCTTTATCTATGTGACTTTGTTCATCAGATCTGGTGTCTTAAGGACCTAAAAACTGATCTGTAACCAGCTATTATTTGGAACAAACTAAGGATCTTCCTGTTCTTATTTTAAGTTATTTTCGAGTTTAAATTTTGATTTGCAGTGTGATAACTGAGTTTACATGGCACTGTTGTGTTTACATTTTGGTACTTCACAGAAAAGGAACTGTGGTTTCTGATTGTTTTGGTAGCTACAAAAGTGTTGTGGTTTGGAATACTACTCTTACAGACTTGCAGATGTTTTGTTAGTACTGTAAGAGGAAGATTGCAGCTCTGGCTTTTAGATTTCCAGCATTCCTCAGCTGAGTCCATCCTAGGAATTCTGAAATGCTCCCACAAGGACTACATCTCCTGTAATTCACTAGATGTAGAAATGAGGCAGACTGTTTATTTTGAAGCCCAGATTTTTGAGACAGGAAAAACTGTAACCCATCTCCCTTGAGGCAAAAGTATTTTGAAAAGGAGAAGATATATTCTCATAGGTGATTTTTAAATTTTTTTTTTCCATATTCGATACTTCTCTGGAGTTCAACTGATTACACTTTGTGAGATGTGTCTAATTGTGCTGCCTTTATAATGTTAAAATCTTGCAAAAGTCACTTTTCAGCAATTTTAGTGCTTTTTAAATAGAATTTTAAAATTTTGCTGCGATGTATTTCCATAAATAAGCAGTAGTTACAAACATTTCTGCAAAGTGTAACCACATTTTTTATATGATAGTTTCTATGTACTCTTTTCTCTATGTGGGCTAGCAGTTTATTCTGTACACTGAATGTTGGCTACCCACATCACTGAAATTGATGTGTAGCAAGGACACAATTGCAGTTACACATGGATAGTGTATGTTTCTGGCCTGTGGCACAGCTCTTCAGTGGTAGATTACCAGAACTTCTCTATTCTACACACAAATAAGCAATGTGCTGCATTTGTACATTATTTGTGGGTGTTTGGGTCCCAATACATGAGCCACAGTCTGAGGTGTGTTGGTGTGAACTGAAAGGAGCTGGTGAAGTCAAAGTGGATTAATGCACAGTATCCAAAAGCAATGGGTTTGAAGTTCAGCTCTCACTTTGCATGCATTACAGGCAGAGTGAACCATGTTTCAATAACCCACACATTGGAAAGTCATCCAGAGAGAAGAGCTTTTGTTCCCATGAGTACACATGGTAATTTGCATGTGGTATACAATGGTATCAGCATATGAATTGCAGGAAAAGCAGGTATTGGGGGGTCAGGATCTGTTTTTAAGATTTTTTTGTGTGTTTAATATTTAGCAAAAAGAAAATAAGTATAATTAGAAGACCATGAACCAGGATAAGAGTTTTTTCTTCCAAAGCAGAAACAATGAAGGGAGGATGTTTGCTGAAATAGTGCCTCAGTCCAGGCAGCTGTCACGTCTGCAGAAGGAAATCTGTTCAGCAGCTCATGATCATCCTGTGCTCCACGCAGATGTTGATTTTTTTTTTCTATTGATTTCATTTTGATAGCTGTTTTGTGCTTTGCATTCAAGAGCCAGAATAAATTTGACTTCTGCTTTTCCTTACCTAGTGACAAAGGAACCCCAGGCCAAGCATTGGTGGGTGCTGGTGGTGGCTCTTGGAGCAGCATCCTGCAGGGAGTGCCAGGGGCTTCACCTCCACAGCCCTCCAGACTGCACAGGCCTTGGGGGAGATGATTTCCTAGCTCAGGCTGGAGAAGTTGT